CCACACACACACATACACACTTACATACACACACACACAAATATAAACAGACAAACAATAAGCACAAACAATGCATATACCCCTTGTATAGTATCATATATTCATATATGTATCATTTATTTGCCATTGCACTTATTTACATACCTTGCACATGCCGTTAATGCACATATCTCTTGTACCGAGTTTGCAAGGCGTACCGTCCGCTACAACCTCGGCTAGTTTCACGCTGTAGAATTCATCGTCGGGTTTACATTGCAACTCGCATGGAGTGTCTGTGAGGGTGAAAGAAGAAATTTGGAAATGCCTGTAAGAGAGAGAAGAAGGGGAAAGGAAGGGAGGGAGGGAGGGAGGGAGGGAGGAAGGGAGGGAGAGAGGGAGGGATGGATGGATGGATGGATGGATGGATGGAGGGAGGGAGGGAGGGAGAGAGGGAGGGAGGGAGGGAGGGAGAGAGGGAGGGAGGGAGGGAGGGAGGAAAGGAAGGAGGGAGAGAGGGAGGGAAGGAGTGAGGGAGGGAGAAAGAAAGAGAGAGAGAGACAGAGACAAACAGACAAACAGAAAGAGAGAAAAAAAATGAATATTTTCTTCCATAATAAAAAAAAACTGTACTCACGATGCTGCATGACGGGCTGCCAGGTATGGTTGGCGCCCTTGTACGGCACGGCGTTGAACTTGGAACACTGCTGTGCTCGGAAGCTCACGCCGTTTTCGGGACAGTCCTGGGAAGGGAAGCAGGCCATTGCAGGATTAGTTGAGCGTTTATTCAAAGTAATTGGTTTACTTGCTTTTTTATCTATTTTCTGTCTAGGTTTTGTCTGTCTATATGCAAGCTTGCGTACGCCCGTCCTTTGGATTATTGGTTTTGAGACAATTACTCCGGACAATTATCCAGGTTTCACATCTTATGACAACTACTTGCGATTGTCTGTATATGAACTGCTAGCGTCTACACACCTCCGTGTTGCAGATGCGGTAACGCTTGCGGTCGCCCGTGCAGTAGCGGCCTCCGTTGGCGGGCGCGGGGTTGTCGCAGTGCCGCTCCGCCATCTGCGTGCCGGCGCCGCAGGACCGCGTGCATTGCGACCAGCTGGACCACGACCCCCACTCGCCGTTGATGGCCGCAGGACGCTCGCCCATGGTCACGCAGCGCCCCATCACGCACCACTGGGGCAGGGTGAGGAGAATGTGATAATAAATCCTTGGAGTAAGTAAAGTAACAGGGATGATGGTAATGGCATCAACAAAGATGATAACAATGAATATAAGGAAAAGTAACATAGTACTGAAATCATATGATAAACCAGCATCCCGGTGTCGAGCGAAAATTTTGGCCATTGCGAGACTCTTGGCCTTCCTCACCAGCCTTTCCTCTCCACAACAGTCGCCAAGAATCACTAGACTCAGCAGATTCGTCTGCAACACGTCTGTGCAGGTGTGCCCTTGGGCACGTTTGTATTCCACAAGAAAATAACTCTGTTGCCTTGACCGGCGACAGCTATTCGCATTTATCGGACGTTTTACGATAACTCTCCATGATCGAGTTTAAAGACATGTTTCAGTGGAAAAGTTAGAACCTGCTTTGTTTAGAGACGCTGGACGACTTTTGAGGAAGGGTATGAATGGCAGTCTACCACAACATGGCGCGTGGCCACTGCGCATGCGTCGATTGTATTTTTTGTCAAATAGCAAGTCCAAATTTTCGCTCGACGCCGGGCGTGCTCGCTTCCCCACCTTGTGCTTCCCGCAGTGTGTCCCCTCGGCCGCCGGCTCCATGCGCGTGATGCAGCGGTTGTCCAGGTGGCACCACAGCGTCTGGCAGATCCTCTCGGTGCCCTCAATGCCTTCGCAGTGGGTGGCACCGGCGCCGAAGCTCAGGCGGCACTGGTGGTCGGCGTCGTACATGGCACCAGGGGGGAGCTCGGGGAAGCTGTACTCCACCTGGGGGGGCTCGTCCTCCAAGCAAGCGCCCCAGTCGCGGCTGCGGGAGGGGGTGAGAGATCGCAGGCGCTCGTGAGAGACTGCAGGCGTGTGTGTACGTGTGGTCGTGCATATTAAATAACACTTGAACGGGGTGGCTGTGTTTAGTTATTAATGATTTGGTGTAATTAATACGTGTGTTTGTAGGGTTGGAGATCGCGTGTGAATCCATAATGTACACAGAATGTATGGCATCAAAGTGAACATTAATGCATACCCACGGCTGAACGAGTGTCACAACAAACAAGAATTAATCCAGAAAAAAAACATAATCTTTACATAATGAAATCTAAAGAAGTGCAATTAGAATAAAGGCGTGTGATTATAACTTAAACAGTACCTTGAAGTAACAGTCAATCAATTGTATTACTTGATGAAAAAGGTATGAGAAAAAAATAAAATCCCAAGACAGGTTACTGACATTTCGTTTACAGTTTATAAAATCGAAACAGAGACTCCAGTCATCCATTTCTCTTTGTGAAATGATCCGTAACCTTTCAGTAAAAAAATCCCACTCAACATTCATGGCACATTAAATGTTGTAGGAGATTCAGCGTTCCAAATAAGCAAGAAACATCCAAGGTTTGCGTTGAAATTTGAGCTGAAGTCTCGAGGTACGATTTTGGACATGCTCTTGTGCCCTTATGTCGAATTTATGGATTATCAAATTCAAATTAAAAACGAATATGAAACCATTCACGACAATCAAAAATTCATAAAGCGGTAAACGGAATATAAATGAAAGATCAACGAATATAATCAACTGGAACTCCTACGCGTTGTTTTCATGTTCATAGGAGGCTATAAAGGCAGAATGTGACCTTCGCTTGGCACCCACAGCTTGCTACGGACGCCAGGCGCAAGTCACGCTGCGTGGGCGGTCGGGCGGCCGCTACCTTGACGTGCGCCGGTGGTCCCTCAGGTGGGCGAGGGGAGGAGCTCTCTCTCTCCCTCTCTCTCTCTCTCTCTCTCTCTCTCTCTCTCTCTCTCTCTCTATATATATATATATATATATATATATATACATATATACATATATATATATATATCCATGAATAATCTCTCTCTCTCTCTCTGTCTCTCTCTCTCTCTCTCTCTCTCTCTCTCTCTCTCTCTCTCTCTCTCTCTCTCTCTCTGGCACAGACAACATTAGTGATAGCGTTCAGAAACCAAAAAATCATGGCAGCGGCCGGGAATGCGCACAGTACATAAAGTCACAAAAAGAAACACTTCTTCCCACTTGCTTCCCCACACATTGAGTTCACCCTTTTCCTTTTATCACTCTGTCTCCTCCCCTTCCTTTCCTCCCCTCTTCTCTCCATCCCCATTTCTTCACTCCCTATCCTTTACCTTTCCTCCTATCTTCTCTCTTTCCCTTTCTATCCCTCTTCATTTATATTTCTCCACCTATTTCCTTTCCTATCTTCTACCTCTACCCTCTTCCATTTCCTCTTTCTCTCCCTTCGCCTCCTATTTTTTACATTCCCACTTCTCCTCTACTTCCCTCTCTCCTCTCCTTCCCTTCCTCCCTCCCCACACATCTACCCTTTCACCTATTCCCTCTCCTTCCCCTTCCTCGCTTCTCCCCTTCTCTGAACTTTCCTCGCCTCTATCCTCTCCCTTATTTCCTCCCTTTCCCTTCCCTTCTCCCCCTCCCCTCCCCCCCTCTCCTGTCAGGTGGCGCAGGTGGTGCAAGTCCCTCCAGCCCGACTGATTAAGTCCGCCTCGCGCTCGGGTTACCAGCTTTCCCGCGCTCCGCTGTTCCGAACCGCGTCACTCGATACGCTTCGGAGTCGTTCAGAGATGGTTATCGTTTCCTTGTATTCGTTTAAAAAATCGACCTCGCTTTGTCCCGCTGTTGGGGCTTGGGTTTTTTTGGGGGAGGGGAGGGCCGAGGGGAAGGGGGAGGGCAGAGGGGAGAGGGGAAGGGGGAGGGAGAAGACTCGTTTTTAAGAGCTTCCATTATTCCCTCCTTACCTCCTTCCCTCCCTCCTTCATTCGCACTCTCCCTCCCTGCATCCTCCCTCCCTCCTTCCCTCCTTCCCTCCTTCCCTCATTCCCTTCTTCCTTCCCTCCCTCCTTCCTTCTCACCCTTCCTCCCTGCTTCCCTCCTTCCTCCTTCCCTCTTTCTCCCTCTTCCTTCCATCCCTTCTTCTCTCCTCCTTCCCTCCTTCCTTCCCTCTTCTTTCCCACCATCCCTCCCTGCCTCCTGCTTCCCACCCTTCCTCCTTCCATCCTTGCCTCCCTCTCCCCTTCCTTCGTTCCTTCCTTCCCACCTTCCCTCCCTCCCCCCTCCTTCCCTTCTTCCTTCCCTCTTTCTCTCCTTCTTTCGTTCCTTCCTCCCCACCTTCCCTGTTTCCCTCCGTTCCTCCTTCCCTCCTTCCCTCTCTCTCTCTCTCTCTCTTCCTTTCTTCCCTTCCTTCCTTCCCACCCTCCCTCCTTCCTTCCCTCCCTCCTTCCCTCTCTCTCTCTCCTCTCTCTCTCTCTTCCTTTCTTCCCTCCCTCCTTCCCACTTTCCATCCTTCCTTCCCTCCCTCCTTCCTTTCCACCCTCCCCCCCTCCCTCCCTCCCTCCCTCCTCCTGTGCCTATTACCCCTTGACTTGCCACAACTGTTTACGTAGCGTCTATGACCTGTTCGCGTCAACAGGAACACCTTCATCCATTAGCGTGGCACTCAAGCGTCACTTTGCTAATGCCTCGGAGGAAACACACACCAGGCCGCTACAGGGCTGCCAACTCCTTTGAGTGTGACGGAGAAGTGCACACCTCTCAGAGCTCTCAGGTTGGTTGGGGCTGTCACTTAAAGACATAGATAGATGGATAGATAGATAGATAGATAAATAGATAGATAGATAGATAAATAGATAGATAGATAGGTAGGTAGATAGGTAGGTAGGTAGGTAGGTAGGAAGGTAGATAAAGAGATAGATAGATAAGAATATAAATAGATAAATAGATTAATTATTCAGTAAAAATCTTCCTAAGAATACTTAACAGACTTTCGATAAAAAGGGAGATATGATTGATAATGATGACCTCATGTGCAAAGCTGTTGACATATCATCGATTGAAACTTTCTGAAGCAAATAAAGCAGGTTGATAAACGTTCTGAAAGTTTGCCATTACTCCGAGTTGCTGAAGAGGTGCCTGTAAATTCTCAAGACTTATTGAACGAGTTGGCGAAACTTCTGCAAAATATTAATGAAGCAGTGCTGCCAATCTCCCCTAGACCGTGAGAAACAGGGCTACAAACACTCTATAGCTGATAAACTTCCTGTCCTTTGAAAAAAAAGAGCCATGACTTTTAAGCATTATCACCAAACATCTCAAACACAATAGATAAAGACAGTCCATATTCCTAGTAACTGACGAAGCATCTGTGACAACTTTCCAGGCAGTGATGAAACAATACTGCCAATAGACAGGATCATAACCCAAGACACAAGACAGGTTTGCCATATACCTGACAGCATTCCTGATACGCAAAGAAGGCAGTTACTTCCATCATCGAGACATTTATAGATGCTAATATTCCTCCGTGGAAATAAACCGAACCGATTAGAGTGAATATGTGTATTAAAGTACCTTGGTTAAGTCTTAAGGCACAGCGTAGTCACACAATGAATGGAAAGAATTTTTACACATTATCATATTACCAGTGAATATAATGACATCTGATGACTATTTGTAATGAGATTGTTCCTATTAGAATGATGATGATTAAAGGATTCGATGACTATAATTGGCCTACTAAATTAATTATCAATGGTTGATGACGTCATCGGATGTCCTCTGACTTCCCTCTCCCCCTCTCCTTCATCCTCTCCCTCTATTCGATTTTCTTCCTCTCCCTCTTCGCCTTCCTCATCTTCTTTCTCTCCCACTTTGCCTTCTCCTTCCTCTTCTCCCTCTTCCCTGTTCTCTTGCTCTCCATCTTCGTCTTTTAATTCATCCTGTTTCTCTCTCTCTTCACTTTCTCCTTTCTCCTCTCCCTCTCCCTTATTCTCTTCCTCTCCCTCTTCGTCTTCTTCCTCATCCTCTGTCTTTCCTTCCTCACATTTCTCTCACTCAGTCTTTCTTCTCCATCATCCTTTTCCTCTTCTTAATCTCTTTCTCTTCTCCTCAAGTCATTTTACACCTAGCTACGTCTTTCCCCTTGTTATTTTCTTTTTGAGAAAGAGAGAGAGAGAGAGAGAGAGAGAGAGAAAGAGAGAGAGAGCGTGAATGAGAGAGAGAGCGAGAGGTAGAAAGAGAAACTGAGTAAGAAAAGGGGAGAGGGAAAGGAAGAGAACCAGAGCCAGAGAAAGAGAGAATGGGGGAGAGGGAGAGAGTAATAGCGGCATGAAAACGAAGGGAAGGCCGGGCGAAGCGGAGAGATCGACCTTGAGCTCAACACGAAAGCCTCGGCGATCACTGGGCGGTTAATGGCCACTCAGGGTGACAAGACCAGCGCCTCCCGAGCGGCGGCGAGTGGCGCTGGCAAAAGGGACAATCTCGTAGCTGTAGAGGAAACGAGAGGAATGATAGCGGGTGGGCGTGGGCGTGGGCGCGAGATGACGGCTGTAGGGATGGTAGCGGTGGTGGTGAGGGTGTTATGGTGAGAGGTGGTGGAAGAATGCAGGCGGTGGTGTCACCATCTTTGCTGATGATGGCAAGGGGGGGGGGGGGCGAGGTGGTGGCGTCGACAACAACAGAGTGCGTATTTCCTGCCTACCTTGTCACTAGGTGGGGGTCGTCTGTAGGGGGGGGGGGTTGTTGCTCGGTGAGGTGAAGTGGTTGACAACACCTGCTACATGGAAGGGGGGAGGCGGAGGGGGAGGGGAAGGGGGAGGAAGGGGAAGGGTTAGACAGAGGAGCAGGAGGAGGAGGAGGAGGAGGAGTAGGGAGAGGGAGATGGGGGCGTAGGAGGGGGATAGAGGAGGAGAAGAAAGAGGAGGGGGAGGGAAGAGGAGGAAGGAGGGGGAAGGGAGAGGAGGAAGGAGGGGGAAGGAAGAGGAGGA